AGTAGTGGTAGTAGTAGTAGTGGTAGTAGTAGTAGTCGTAGTAGCAGTAGTAGCAGTAGTAGTAGTAGTGGTAGTAGTAGTAGTAGTAGTAGTAGTAGTAGTAGTAGTAGTCGTGGTAGTAGTGGTAGTAGTAGTAGTAGTAGTAGTGGTAGTAGTAGTGGTAGTGGTAATAGTAGTAGTAGTAGTAGTAGTAGTAGTAGTAGTCGTAGCAACAACTGTAGTATTAGTAGCCGTTGTTGCTGTTGCAGGGAAGGAGGACGGAGGCCAAAACCGAACCACCACATCGGACATTTGTCCGGGCCTGCTAAGGTCAGGTTGGCGAGGCCGTGGCCTCAACATACAGACATGCATAATAGCTACGAGATATACAACACGTTATAAATCCGTGCAACACACAAAAAGTTATGACAGAGGAAGTAAGGAGGAGGAAGCCCTGGTTATGAATGTCGGCGAAATGCTGATGTGTTTGTGCTCGAGTATCGACCACGTGGTGGTGTGTTGAACTGAACGAACCCAAGTGAGGTCGTTCGGTTTGCCATGCTCATTGGTAGGTGTGGGCGTTGGGTGCAGGTCGGGTCGGTGTTCTCGAAGGAAACTGACGAAACCGTCGTCCCAACGCTTGCGCTGGCCGCCGTGGTGTCTCCAGCCACGTTGCCGTGAATCTCTCCTGGTTGCCAGCGCAGTGCACGCCACGTCTATCTGGTAGGCTCGTGGTTGGTAACTTTGGATGCCATACGCCACGACCACTGTCTGCGAATCGTCTCCCAGTTTTCGATGTGGTGGTGCTCCATGTGCTGTTCTGCGCGCCGCGTGGCTCGCTGGATGTGGTCGACCCACGGCTCCATGGCGTCCTCGTCATTGTTGTTGTCGTTGCTCTCGCTGTGTCGGTCGGTCGTGTCTTGTTGGGGCGCGTTGCTCTTTGCGTCGTCGTTGCTGCTAGTGTTGTGGTCAGGTGCTTGAGTGGTCGTGCGGTCGTCTCCGTAGAGTGCTGCGGGTGTTAAGGTCCGGCTGACAAGCCGGAGTCGGTGTGTCATTGGGTAATGATTGTTTGTCAGCTCCTGTTTGTGCGAAGTGAACGTTGCCCATGCTGTCCTCGTACGGTGGTGGATTTGGGTCCCCATCGCGTCGTGACAGCTGATGAGGGGGGAGGAGGAGGAGGAGGGAGGAAAGAGTGAGGGGGGGGGAGGGAGGGTGGATGGGGGGGGGGATCTTGAAAAAACACATTTGCAAACCTATCATATTACCATATTCCTGTTGGAAAACCTTTCACTTCAGAAAGGTATTGAAGTCCACTTGCGCGTGGGGGGGAACATCTCGGGCATTTTCCCGCGATAAGAAGCCCCGGAGATAAAACAGGTTCGCCCGTGTGGGTGTGGGATGGCAGTAGTCGTAGTCGTAGTAGCTGGTGATGATGACAATACTGATGCAATAGTAATACGAGTCGTACTCGTAGTCGTAGCCGTAGTCGTCGTAGTAAAAGGAATCGTAGTAGTAGTAATAGTAGTAGTAGTAGTAGTAGTCGTAGTAGTAGGAGTAGTAGTAGTGTAGTAGTAGTAGTAGTAGTAGTAGCAGTAGTAGTAGTAGTAGTAGTAGTAGTAGTAGTAGTAGTGGTAGTAGTAGTAGTAGTAGAAGTAGTAGTGGTCGTCGTCGTCGTCGTGGTAGTAGTGGAAGCAGTGCTAGTAGTAGTACTAGAAGTAGTCGTAGTAGTAGTAATAGTAGTAGTAGTAGTAGTAGTAGTAGTAGTAGTAGTAGTGGTAGTCGTAGTAGTAGTAGTAGTAGTAATATAAATAATACTAGTAGTAGTAGTGGTCGTACTAGACAGTAGTCGTGGCAGTAGTAACCAAAGTGACAAAACAATAATCGTAGTAGTAGTAGCTGGCGTAGAAATAGTAGTCGTAGTAGTAGTAGTAGTAGTAGTAGTAGTAGTAGTAATAATAGTACTAGCAGTCGTCGTAGCCGTAGTAGCAGTAGTAGTAGTAGCAGCAAAAGTAGTAGTGGAAATAGTAGTAGTAGTAGCCGTAGTAGTAGCAGTAGTAGTAGTAGTAGTCGTCGTAGTGGTAATAGTAAAAGTAGTAGGAGTAGTAGTAATACTTAGTAGTAGTCGCCATCAAACTAGCAATACATCAATCGTACTCGTAGTACTAGTCGTATTAGTAGTCGTAGTAGCATCTGTCGTAGTAGTAGGAATCGTAATCGTAGTAGTATTCGTTGTACGCGTAGTAGTAGTAGTAGTAGTCGTCGTGGTTATAGTAATAGTATTCGCCGAAGCAGTAGTAGTAATATCAGTCGTAGTACTGGTAGTCGTGAAAGTAAAAGTTGTAGTAGTAGTAGTATCCTTAATATTAGTAGTAGTAGTAGTAGTAGTAGTCGTAGTAGTAGTAGTAGTAGTAGTCGTAATAGTAACAGTAGTAGAAGTAGTCGTAACAGTAGTAGTCGTAGTATTAGTATTAGTATTAGTAGTAGTAGTAGTAGTAGTAGTAGTAGTAGTAATAGTAGTAATAGTGGTAGTAGTGGTACTACTAGTAATAGTAGTAGTAATAATAGCAGTAGTAGTTGTTGTAGCCGTAGTAGTTGCAGTAGTAGTATAGTAATCGTAGTCGTAGTAGTGGTAGTCGCAGTAGTAGTAGTAGTAGTAGTAGTAGTAGTAGTAGGAGTAGTAGTGGTAGTAGTAGTAGTAGTAGTAGTAGTAGTAGTCGTCGTCGTCGTCGTCGTAGTCGTAGCCGTAGTCGTACTAGTAGTAGTCGTAGTAGCAGTAGTTGTAACTGATGGGGATGATGTTGATCATGCTGCTGATGATGACGCGGTAAGGAGATTCAATGTGATTCGTACTTGTCTCGGTGATAACAAAATTAAGCCCCGCCGCCCCCCGCCGCCGACCAAAACTGCATTTGCTGGAGAGAATCCACACTCAGGTCTCAAAGGGGGGGATGCTTTACTATCCGGGGCACGCGGTTATTCTGAATCTGCGCAATGCTTGGCGACCGCGCTTGTGCACTACACGGCGTTCATGTCTAATCGTGCTCATTTCTAATTGTGCTCGGTTCTAATTGTTCCTGGCCCCCTAGTGGCCAGGAAGAGGACCAGGATAGAACAACTAGAAATGAAAGGATCTCGGCCCCCAAAAAATTAAAGAACTTCTGAATACTCCGAAATTATCAACGTGTACTTGCACGCCCCGCCGGACCGATGACTCGGGGACGTGGAACTTCGAGGGCGCCGTCACGCGGTTGAGCTTGCCCTCGGCGGGGTCCACCTCGCCGGGCAGCGCGAGCTTCCCCAGGCGGGCGACCGCGCTCCAGAAATCGCCGAACTGGTCCTTCGTCTTCTTGAACAGGCTGGTGCCGTACTCCAGCTGGACCACCTCGGTATGAGGGAGGGCCCCGCAGGAATCGGCCCCCCCGCCCGCGCGGCCTTTTCCCCGGAGCCGAGCGCCCCTCCCGAGCCTTCCTCGAAGGCCTCGGAGCCCGCAGGCGGAGGAAAAAGACACCTCGGATGGGGGCCTCGCCGCGATCCCCAAGAGTCCCCCCGGAAGTCCCGTGCGGGAGCGGGGGGCCTCCAAAGATGTGCCCCTCGGAGGCCTCCGGAAGCCGGTCGCGGCTCCGACGGGAGCCCAAACGACGAAGAACAGGAGGAAAGCTTCCGAGGACATAGGAATACAGAAAGGCTGCATGTCAGACGCGTCCGAGAGATGGGTGCGTTCCTCCAGAGGCAAGGCAGCCCAACGACAAGGCGAAACTGTTTCGCGACAAGGGGGTTTAAAGCGGTGGGCGAAAGCGGGAGGCAGGGGGCGAAAGCGGGAGGCGAAAGCGGGAGGCGAAAGCAGGAGGCCAAAGCGGGAGGCGACGTCGGAGGTGAAAGCGGGAGGCGAAAACGGACGGCGAACGTGGGAGGCGAAAGCGGGAGGCGAAAGAGGCAGGCGAGATCGGGAAGCGAAAGCGGGAGGCGAAAACGGACGGCGAACGCGGGAGGCGTAAGCGGAAGACCAAAAAAGGGCGGTGAAAGCGGGAGGCTAAAGTAGAAGGCGAAGAAAAAGCGGGAGGCGAAAGCAGGAGGCGAAACGAAAGCCAGGGGCGAAAGCGGGAGACGAAAGGACAGCGGGAGGCGAACGCGGGAGGCGAACGCGGGAGGCGAAACGAAAGCGGGAGCCGAAAGCGGGAGGCAGAAACGCCTCCCACCTTCTTCTCTTGTCGCGAAAACGTGTCGTTTTGTAGTGCATCAGTTTTCTTCTGTCGTGCATGTATCTATCCTCTGTCATGAAAAATCATGTTTTTGTCAGAAATGTGGCGTCCAGGAGGAGGGAGATGCAAGTCATGGTCGGAGGCCCGTGCAGGGCCAAAACATGGCCAGGGGATGTGCTGAAAGATGAAGGGAGGGGGCCATGAGATTCGGGACGACACCAGGACACCGGCCATGACATCCACCGAACCCTCGTCATCACCCCCCTCTTGTGAGGGGCACCGATAGGGGGGGACTGGCATAGGGGGGCATGCATCGATCTGCAATCAGCGATACATCGTCGATAGATCGGCGATCGGCCCCCGATAGCGAAACCGCACCTTCCTGGGCGGGTTTGGGCTATGGGGCCCCTATCGGCGATCAGTGGGCGATTGAGGGTCGATCTATCCCCTTGTATGCCCATCCACCCTTATCCCAGACCCCCGACGTCATGACTTTTTCATTACGTCGACCCCTGGAGGTCTCGACCCATTACCCTGGACCGGTTTTTCGTCCTGAGTCGTTTTCTGACGGTCCCGAGGGCCGGCAAGGGACCCCACAGGCCGAAAATAGCAAAGAACCTCCTGTCACGATTTTTCCATTGCCCGAGGGGGTCTGGGATCGTTGCCCCTGATCTTGGCCAACCCCCGATCATGGCGATGGGCCGCCACGAGCAACGGCGCCCGCCGCCGGAGCCGGTCGAGGAGCACCTCCACAGCCCTGAGGCAGGTCTCCAGCAGCCGCCGCTGGTCCTCCGGCGAGGCCACCGTCCCCTCGAGCGCGTCCTCGAGGTCCTGTGCCCAGGGCAGCTGTGGTGGGCTTGTCTTCCACCACCACCACTCGAAGTAGGAGGGAGAGGGGTCCTCCTCCTCCTCCTCCTCATCCTCCCCCTCCTTCCCCCTCCATCTTATCGTGGTGGTGGTGGAAAACAAGCCCATCAAGCTGAGTTCGCCCGTGTGTTGTCGGCGAGCGCAGGGTGAAATGAGAAGGGGCGGGTCTTCTCAGAAGGCGCGGTAGTCCCCTGGCAATCTGAAACATCTCCTTAATCTCTCAAAAGCACGAGGGCTTCTGAGAAGTCCCGCCGCCTTCTGAGAAGGCCTTTTCCTTATCACTCCCCCCCCTTCGCTCGCCGACGAGTGTGGCGCTCGGAAGGGCGGGCGGACCTTGAGATCCTGGCGTTGAAATTCCAATTCCAATGTTTTTTTCCACGGCGGCCGTTTTCGACTGGCTCCAGGCCCCAGGGCCATCACAGATCGATCCAGTGCGAAAAATGCCACAGAAAGGTAAGGCCCCGAGCTGCTCTACTTGCGATTTTCTGCGATGCACCCCGAAGCCGGCGGCAATCGACCGGTACGCAGGTGGGGGGCAGAGTTTCAGAACAAACACAATATTTCGGACACCCCCGCGGACTTCTAGGATCTGCGGGGACTGCATGCGACCATAACCGCAACGAGGGCACACCCTGGGGAGTGTCCTGTGCAAGCCAGAATGTGTCGGAACACCGACACCAGCGTCGTACTGTTTGTGGTCGGCGTGGCGTCCCAGGACGGCCAAATCCACCACAACGACAACCAGGGCGTTCATGTCGAGCGCGGTGGGTTTCCCCCGAGGGCCCCCTTCCCCGAAAAATCCACTTCGTTGTGGCTGTGCTTCCCTCTTGTGCCCTGAGCATCAACACTGGGCTCGCGGCGGGCTCGGCGCGCGGAGAGCCATTGTGCCATTGTGGGCTCGGCGCGCGCAAGGTCCCAGCGCCAACGCAAGGTTCCCGGGCGGACGCCCGCGCGCTGCGGCGATCGAGTCCTTCTGCACGGGGTCCCGGGACGAAGGTGGAGGAAGGAGGAGGGAGGAGGATGGAGGATGGAGGAGGGAGGAGGGAAAGGACAGAACATCCGCATGATGGGGTCAACGACGAAACGCCCGCCAAGGAGCCGCGGGGTACGACTTGCAGAATCCCCTGCGGACGAAATTTGCCGCAGACCCAGACTTCTCGTGGGGCCGGCAGGGGGCGTGCCCCGATGCTCTAAGAAGCGAACTCCGAAAAAAATGCCCCGTAAGAGAGGCTCGCTACCTTGCGAGCACGGGTCCCTGCGGGTCAGTGCGGGGGGAGCAGCTGCTGGCCCTTTCGCGCGCCTCTCCTTGGGGAACGCGCATGGTGAGCAGGGCTCCAAACCAGGGGGAGGAAAACGACGCAACCGCTCCACAACGACACGCGAAGAGAGGAGGAGGGAGGGAATGCAGGAGGCCCCGTTTCGTGCCAAACTTATATTGGGGAGCCCAATACTATGTTCTACCGAGGTCCTGCGTGGCCCACGCTTCGAACAGTTCCCTCCCGCTCTGGACTCACTTCGTTGCCTGGACGTGCTTGCCAATGGCCAAACCGTGCACTCCATGTAGTGTGCGACACATTCCCTGTGCTGCAACCCGCTGCATCCAAACGCTCTGTAGCAATCGAAGTATACCTCTGAAGTGTCCCCTTTCCAGTCGGCGTGTAGGTAGGGGCGAGCAAAGCCACCGTGGTCACGGCGTGTGAAAGGCCTCCACATCTGGTCATGTCCCAATGTCGTTCCACGGCGTGTCAACACCGACTCCACCAGTCCTGCGCGGGGTGAGTGTTGGAGGGGCAAGATGTCGCGGGGTTCTCAAGGAGGCCTTGGGGGAGGGGCCCTAAGGGAACGCTTTGCTCGTCTCTGTGGGGCCCTCGTCCCCAACTCGTCGTCCCAGTGGTGCTGCGTTCATCTGAATTCGTGCGGTCTCCTGTCTTCTTGCGCCGCCTGTCGGTGCTCAGAAATAAACGCTCATGTCAGTGCAGTCCCCGCTGGCCTGCACTCCGGGATGCCCTCGCCAGTGCGGCCGCAGGGGCGAGCGGGCGCGCTCGCGCGCGCCCGCTGGAGCTAGCCGCTCCTCCTGGATTGGCGTACTTCTCGAGGATGTGGTTGCCGCCGAGCAGGGCGCTTGTTCTATCGCGCAGTTCCTGGCGACGCTTGAGCCCCATGGAACTCCCTCCCGGATGCCTCCACGACGCTCTGCAGGTTCTCCAGGTCGTCCTTCGCGATGCGCATCGCTAGCTCGCGCAGGCTGCGCAACGAGAAGTACTGTCTCCTTTCTGCTTGCCGTGCTTCCACTGGGCACCCTGCAATCAGCTCGCAGCTCTGTCCGCGGTGCGCCATCGGGAAGACCGGCGGGATCATCACCTGCTGTGCATCTGGGTTCAGCTGCTGGGCTGCGCTGGAGAACTGGCAGTGGTGCTCATTAATGGCGTCGTCGATCCTCTGCGGCGGCCTCTCGGCTGCGAATGCCCCCCCCACTTGCCATTAGTGAGAAGCTCCACAGCATTCGACGGGCCGTTGCGGAAAGGGGCGGGGCCTCGACTTGCAGCCGATCCCGGGCCACTTCGCGTTCTCCTCGGTGGAGTGACGCTTCATCTTGCCAACCCATGCTTGCATGCGCTGGTCGGTGGGGGAGCTCTCATGGGCAATCACCAGCGCCTCCCCGTCGACTTTGCACCAGAACACCCACTGTTTTGACCGCGAATGAACGCCAGGGCCCCTCCACCACAGCTCGTTGGGGAAGGCTAGTCCGCACGAGCAGGCGCAGCTCTTGTCCCAGTCCCAGCCCGCGCGGCACCGCGCAAATTGTACCACTGCATTGTCTCTCCGCGTGTCCACAAAGCCCAGCGCTTTCAAGTGCTGGATCTGCGGCGCACCCATGTTCTTGCACGTCTTGTAGTTGCCGTGTTCCATCAGCTCCTTCTCTTTCTCTTCGAGCGCTTGCTCGGCTGCCTCAAGGGCCACCCTGTCCTCCTTGTCCATGAGCGCGTGCTCGCGCATCGTGGCGTCGCGCTCCTCGGCGCAGTTCAGGGCGACCCGCACAGTCTCCCCTGCCCTGCTGAGGGCCGTGAAGATGCCCCCGTTCTTCTTGATGCCTTCCACCGAGGCCTTCGACGCCTCCCCGGGCCGCTCAAGGACCTTCTTGAATCTCTGGTTGCGCGACCTCTTCGGCCGGTCGCATTGCTCCTCCGCGTCGACGATCGCCTTCGCCACCTGGGCTTGCACCATGGACTGAGCGGTCCACGCTGGGCCCCTGGCGCGCTTCTTCTGATCGCGGCTCACTTGTTCTTGTTCTGTACTTCCCCCCGCCATGGCGAAGCTTTTCCTCGTCGCTCCACTCGGACCACGCCGCGAGCCGCAGGGCCAACTCGCAAATGACGCACGCCCTCTTCCACTGGGTTCCTCTTCCTCCTTGGTCCTGTTCACGTCCTGACTCGTTCATGGCGCGCCCCCCGCGGCTCTCCATCGCCCTGGTGTGCCCAGACTGCTCGCCGAAGCGGCCGCATGGCCAAAGCTTGTCGCTTCTGGCGAAGGCCGCGAGCAGCCCTTCGGCGCCTTGCACTCCGGGACTTCCTCGCCAGTGCAAGTTCGAGCCGACGCTCTGGTTGAGCCAGAAAGGCCGTGGGGGCAGATGGTACGCGACGGGGATTTATCTCCTCTCTGAAATCCCGCGCCGTGGCCAGTAGCCCCCGACAGTACCTCGTAGAACTCTGGAGTCGGGGTGCGCTCCTGAACCCACAATGTCCTAGGAAACAGACATCGCCTCCCGCGCTCGGCGCACGCTTCCCGTCGGTTGGCCGAGTTGCAGCCGCGAAGCGGCCTTCGATGTAGCGCCGGGCCATAGCCCTGGCTCCCAGGAAGCTAAATGCCCCGAAACCTGTCGGTCGTTTGTCCGAGTGGCAGCCGCGAAGCGGTCCTCGATTGCACGCGTTTCCGTGATCCCTCGCTGCACATATGTTGTCTGTTGAAATCTGCAAGGAACGCAGAGGCCCCTATCACGCCGCATCGCCACAACTGTAGGTGGCCACGAGGAGGTGAAGGGGCAATTGGGGCCACGCTGTGAGATGCAGTGCCGTCACAAGTTAAGACGTAGGCAACTACATGTTTGGACGCGAGGACTGGCTGCTTCCTGGGAAACCTTTCCCCGGGGCGTTCCTCTGTAATTATGCCTCCCGTTCCGCCCGACAGATGAAGGCAAATTTGATGCGCCTGCTTCTCGGGGACACGCGTCCAAGTATGACGAAGCGCTCACCATCCATGCTGAATGACTCCGCGATCTTTTCCTCATCAGAGAGATGCCGTCTCGCTTGTCCGCTATTGGGCACTTCTGAGAGGCCCGCCTGCGCTGCGGGGGCCTCCTGAGGGGCGGCGCCCTCAGAAAGCTGTGCAGTAGCCTTCGCAGAGGGGGTCGCGCAAGTGCTGGTCCGCGTCAGTCGCGGTCGGGCACTTGGCGCCGGGACGCTTGCACTCCGAGATGCCCTCGCGAGCGCCGCTGCCCCCCTCGCTTCGCGGCGCCGACGCTGGAGTTAGCGCTCCACCGCCATCTCCAACTTCATCTTGGGTGCCGCCACCTGGGACTTCGCGCCGCCCGCGAGAACCATCAGCACCCCCGCCGCTTTCATCCGGTTGTGGCCCGAGAACTTGCCCAGCTTCTCCAGAATCTCCTCGCTCGTTACTTTTAGGGGCGCCGCTCGGAAAATGGGGGCCCTGTTGATGCTGATCAGAATATTGCCCGCGCCCTCCTCCCAGAACTGCTCGTCCTCGTTCGGGTTCTGGTGCCTGTAGTTGCGAACTTTGTAGCTCTCGCTGACCTTGCGCAGCTCGATCGCCTCGGTGGCCCTGGCCTGGCTGTAGATGCTGCTGCCGTCCACCATGACCAGGAAATTGTTCGGCGCGTCGATTGCCCAGACCATAGGCGGCTCCACCGATGTTACGTCCGCGGTCTGCCATTCCGTCAC